GCGGGGTTCCCACGAGCATCGCCCCTCCCGCTCCCCACCGCCACCACTGTCCCAGCAGGCATCTTCCCCCACAAATCGTAGGAATCTCGGGTTAATACGCCCTCCTGCTCTCGCCACCTCCTAGCTCGCTCCCCGCTCTTTGCCCCAGCCAGGCGCAGGGCAATCCCTGTCCGCGGTGTGTTGGTTCCCGTTCCCGTGCAGCAACAGCCCCGCCGGCCACGGCACCGGCAGTGCCTGGGCGAGAAACAGCCAATTCTCGGGCTGCCTGACGGCGTTTGGGGCTGTTGCTGTCATCTACAACTCGTGACACGTCGGTTTTCCGACGTTCCGAGCGCCCATACGGATATAACGACAGCAATTTTGGCGGTCGTGGTCCATCACCCGCGCAACTGCTCAGCTGTCACGGTGCAATGGGAAGGGGCCAAAGGAGCTTGATAAGGGAGCGCCAGGAGCCCTGATAAAACCCGGCTGTGGCCGAGAAACGCAGCGTCCAGGCTTCTTCCCACAATCAAGATTGATAGGGAAGGAACGGTGATGTCTGGGAAGGAAACTGGACTGGAAATTCCGGATAAGCGTTCATTCGCTTATCGAGCCAAACGAAAAGGCTCTCCATGACCCGCTGAACTGGCTCGGAAACGTTGCTGGTTCTCTCTTACCCCGCTGCTTGTCGTGGCTGAGCACGTTGTGGAAGGGCTGCAAATCACCCGCACCAACGTGGGAGAGAGGACACCCCCCCGAGCGACAGCGACCTCGATTCTGGCTGCGTGTCCTCGCCCTGCACGGCGCTGTCAACTGCCGGGAGCACATGGGAGACCCCCCCCAGAGACGCGGTATTGCCGCGCTCATATGAAAAGTCACCAGTACCGAGCAGGTCGGCACAGTCGTTCCTCTCTACGTGCTCAGCTATTCCCTTTCCTACCGAGTAATCGTTACCAAAAGATAAACCGTATCAGCGCTACTTACCGTTCTTATCACCAGTCCACGGAACGAGAATAAAAGTATAGGCTTCACACCGATAAGGTCCAACGTTAGCCGTCTGTTTGTATTTTAATAGCATTTAATTAGGGAGCAATTTAAAGACTGCGAAGGAAAACGATATGCTTTACCCCTGGCAGCTCTATCCTGCACACAAGGACGCACGATGCCCCTCCGTCCATCTTGGAGTGCTCCTGTAACAGACCGTGTCTGCAGGCTCCCGGTGCTGGGAGCAAATCTCTTTTCTTGTAGGCTCTTATGCAACCAAATCCCAATTACCTTTCTTTCTTACATATAATCTAAAAAGAAGAAAATCTGCAGCGCTCTCAGAGATAAATCTTGAAACAGCCTTCAGCCATTTACTTTCTCTGAAATAAGCTCTGAATCTTTTTTCCAACCACTGCCCATTTCGCGTCTTTCCTAAACTCTGTTTACTGAGCAATTTCTCTAAGTGCACATCACAATTCTTAAGGAGTTTCTCTTCATCAGAGCGTACACACGACCCATATTCAGAGTACCTTGTCCACTTAATCCCAGCAGTAGGAGGACAGGCAAGCAGCTGGGAGCTGAGTAAAGCGAAGATATCTCGGAAAAGGCATGGAAGACTGAACATTTCCATCACCCATATTTCCACTAATCTGGAGACGTTACAGCTCCTTCACTTTGCTGGGAAGCCCCAATATTGAAGGCGACGCCTGAGACCTCCTGAAAGCACCATTTGCAGGGAGAGGAGTGGAAACGCGGGCCAGTTAAGGGGAAAGGCACCTTTCCCTTGCACCAGGAATCCCTTCGGGGATGGATTCAAGCCAAACCCCAGCCAGAGTCGCTCGCTCCAGCACTATTCCCCGCTCCGCCAGGGCTCCAGAAGAGCCTGTGGCAGCAGCGGGCCCAATGAGCTCTTTGCTCATCTCAGAGCTAAGTGAGGCACCAGCTCCGGCTCCCCAGATGGAGGGGAAATGTTAAGTTACGGGTGTACACAACATCCTCCTTTTGAGGGGTTCAGAGTATGAAAAGAGCCAAGCTGGAAGGGAAAACAGAGGACTGCAGGGGCGCTGCCCTCACTAAGTGAACGGGCCAGCAGAGATCACACATCATTATCACACATCATTATCACAAATGCTTACAGCTAGCAGAGATAAGAAATTAAGCAGTCACTTGGTCAAGATGGAAGTGTTATCTCAGCTTCGGACCCCACGATTCTTTTGCCCCCGCTCCACCCCACGGTCGACACCACCACCCTGGCTCAGTGAAACTCTCACCCGGAGTAGGACAGACAGACAGACAGCAATACTGACAATAGAGTGCTCCTTGGGGCACAACCGACAATTTGCACATGAGACTGGACGGGTAAAATGGAAGGTCACACACACACGGCCACACCTCCACCCCCAAGCATTGAGCCGGGGGGCAACATTGAGCTCTGCCGGTAGCCCACCGATCCCCGATGGCAGAACAGGGGAAGGAGGAGATTCATTCAGGTGCGCAGAGAGGGACCCCAGGACACAAGCTCACCTGTGCCGACCTCTCTAGGCTGGGAGGGTCCTTCCCGGAGCGAGTGTCTGAGCCGGGTTCCCCAGCCAGGAGGTGGTCAGAGAGCGTTGCCGCTCCTGGTCTAAGAAATGTGAAGTCCTTCTGGCCCGACTCGGAGGCTAAACACACCTCGTAGGAGTAGGGCAAGGGCAGCGTGCTGCTGCAGTAGTTGTACGGTGCTTTTGAGCCCAGGCTGGAATACAGTTCCTTATCGGAAGTTAGAAAAACGGGAGGGCTCCTCAAGCGTCGGCATTTAAAAAACAGCATCAAAACGACTGTCGAAACGAATAACAAGGAGACAATAGCGAGCGCCACTACAAGAATGAGGTTTAGATCAGACGTCAGCTCGGACGCAGCGGCTCTGTCGCTCAGCTCCGGCAGCGCCTCCTGCAAGCTCTC